AGGGCCAAGCTCTATCAATGTTGGAGCTCTGTTTACTTATGATTCTTTCATTGGAAGAGCAGCTAAACCTGCGTTTATGGCGGCCATTGAAGACGTTAATGCTGATCAGAGTATTCTAAGGAGAACGAAGCTCAGTATTGTCTTTCATGACTCAAATTGCAGTGGATTTGTCGGCACCATGGGAGGTACCTTCTTGTTAGCTATGCCTGAAAGTTGCTTGTGAAAATGCCTCAACGAAGCTCTGTTTTTTTTTTTTCTTTTTCCCAATTGCGGAGCTTGTCTTCTTGATATTTCTTTTGTTATTATCTTCGTTTGCACATGGATTGGTATTGAGGATATGAGGAAGGAGATTAGTGATATGTTTTCTTATGGTGTAGCTTTGCAGGTAATGGAGAACAAGGTGGTTGCAGCCATTGGTCCACAATCTTCAGGAATTGGTCATATAATCTCTCATGTAGCTAATGAGCTACATGTACCTCTCTTGTCATTTGCAGCAACAGATCCGACTCTTTCTTCGCTTCAATTCCCTTACCTCCTTCGCACCACACAGAACGATTTCTTCCAAATGAATGCGATTGCGGATTTTGTATCCTATTGCCGATGGAGAGAAGTTGTTGCGATCTTTGTGGACGATGAGTATGGTAGGAACGGGATATCTGTATTAGGCGATGCTTTAGCTAAGAAACGTGCCAAGATCTCTTACAAGGCTGCATTCACTCCTGGTGCAGATAATAGCACAATCAATGACTTATTGGTTTCTGTTAATTTGATGGAATCTCGCATCTTTGTTGTTCATGTGAATCCTGATTCGGGTTTAAACATATTCTCTGTCGCCAAGTCTCTTGGAATGATGGGAAGTGGCTATGTCTGGATTGCTACTGATTGGCTTCTTACAGCTTTGGATTCCATGGAACCGTTGGATCCTCAAACTATGGATCTCTTGCAAGGAGTTGTTGCTTTTCGCCATTACACACCTGAGAGTAACAAGAAGAGACGGTTTAAGGCAAGATGGAAAAAGCTTGAAACCAAAGAGACTTCAGGAGGTGACGACTATGGCTTCAATTCTTACGCCTTGTATGCTTATGATTCTGTTTGGTTGGTCGCTCGTGCTCTTGATGTTTTCTTCAGTGAAGGCAATACAGTGACTTTCTCCGATGATCCAAATCTGAGGAACACCAACAGTAGCAACATTAAGCTATCAGCACTTAAAGTTTTCAACGAAGGAGAGAGGCTCCTGCAGATCATTCTTGAGATGAATTATACAGGTCTGACCGGGAAAATCAAGTATGATTCAGAGAAGAACCGGGTTAATCCAGCCTACGACGTGCTAAACATAAAAAGTACAGGTCCACACAGAGTCGGGTATTGGTCGAATCATACAGGTTTCTCAGTTGAGCTTCCGGAGACATTATACTCTAAGCCTTCAAACACATCTTCAGATAATCAACATCTTGATAAGATCATATGGCCAGGGGAAGTAACAAAACTGCCTCGGGGTTGGGTCTTCCCTGACAATGGAAAGCCGCTGAAAATCGGGGTGCCTAACCGTGTGAGCTACAAAAACTATGTCTCTAAGGACAATAGCCCGCTTGGTGTTAAAGGCTATTGCATCGACATCTTTGAAGCTGCGGTTCAGTTGCTTCCATACCCTGTTCCACATACTTATATACTATACGGGGACGGGAAGAGAAACCCCTCATATGACAAACTCATAACCGAAGTTGCTGCAAATGCGAGTCTTACTTCTTATCTCTTTTACTCAATCATAGTACATAGGTAGTATACTAGCCTGTCTAATTTACGTTTTATGTCTCCAGAATTTCGATGTAGCTGTTGGAGATGTTACGATTGTTACAAACAGAACCAAGTTTGTAGATTACACACAGCCATTTATGGAATCAGGGCTTGTGGTGGTAGCTCCAGTGAAGGGGGCCAAGTCTAGTCCTTGGTCGTTCTTGAAACCATTCACTGTAGAGATGTGGGCTGTGACCGGCGCCCTTTTTCTCTTTGTGGGAGCCATCATTTGGATTCTCGAACACCGCTTTAATGAAGAATTCCGCGGACCTCCTAGGCGTCAAATCATCACTGTCTTCTGGTTAGTTCCTAGTTCCTGACTTTCCTACCATAAGATGTGACAAAGATGAAAGAACACTACAACTAGTGAATCGAAGCATAACCTTATATTTAATAAGTTTTAAGCCTAAGCACTAAAGCTTTACTTTGCCACTTCCTTTTTGGTCTTCAACATTGCAGGTTTAGCTTCTCAACAATGTTCTTCTCTCACAGTATGTACTCGATTATTACAAATTGGAGCCTACTGTCAACGAGAATCTCGAGGTTTTTTGTTTGTTTATTATTCTTCCTTTCTTGATCTTTAGGGGAGAACACGGTGAGCACGTTGGGGAGATTTGTGCTACTTATATGGTTATTCGTGGTTCTGATCATCAACTCAAGCTACACTGCAAGTCTCACTTCGATCCTCACCGTTCAACAGTTAACATCTCGAATAGAAGGAATGGATAGTCTTATAATGAGCAACGAACCCATTGGAGTCCAAGATGGTACATTTGCATGGAACTATCTAGTCAATGAACTTAACATAGCTCCATCGAGAATCATTCCACTGAAAGATGAAGAAGAGTATCTCTCTGCTCTTCAACGTGGTCCTAGATATGGTGGAGTGGCAGCCATTGTTGACGAGCGTCCTTACATTAAAGCTCTCTTGTCAAACAGCAACTGCGAGTTCCGCACAGTTGGACAAGAATTCACCCGCACAGGCTGGGGATTTGTATGTAAAGAAACAGTTTCAAATCTTTTTGATTGGTCTCTATTATAGCTTTGCTTACCGAATCTCGAATGTTGCAGGCGTTCCAGAGAGACTCTCCTCTAGCTGTAGACATGTCAACAGCGATCCTGCAACTGTCTGAAGGAGGAAAACTCGAGAAAATCCGTAAGAAATGGCTTACCTACAACCACGAATGCACAATGCAGATTTCAGACACAGAAGACTATCAAATCTCTGTACAGAGTTTCTGGGGACTCTTCCTAATCTGTGGCATAGTTTGGTTCTTCGCGCTCACTATGTTTTGCTGGAGAGCTTTCTGGCAATGCCAACGGTTAAGACCAGAAGACAGCGATGAAGGAAGGGCGAGCGAAGAGGCTGGTTCTTCTAGATCAAGGAGAATTTTTAGGGCAGCGAGTTTCAAGGACTTGATCAAAGTCGTTGATAAGAGAGAAGCAGAGATCAAAGAGATACTTAAGCAGAAAAGCAATAAGAAGCTCAAAGCTAGCCAAAGCTCAGCTGAAACTCCATAGAGACGGTTACATAGATAAATAAAGATATACACAAATTTGTTTAAATGATTACATGTATACATTACATACAAAAGGTAAATAGATTAATCAGAAGGTTTTTTAATAGATGGATTCATTGATAGATCACATTAAAATGGAACTTTGGGGTTTATTTGGAATTGTAAAAAGAACATTTCATAAAATGGCTTTCCCTCAATTAGAGAGGAGCAAAAACACTTGCAATTTTATTTATTTATCTTCTGTACTTTTTAAACAAAATTGATTATTTTGCGTGTTTTACCAAATATCATTTTTTCAATAGTAGCATGTCATTTGTGAAATGAAATCACAGACAAAATACAAACATATAACTATTTATTTATGGTTTTGCGACGGTGTCATTTTTTGCCAATTTTGCTATGTGTTTCGACTTTCGACTATTTAGCAAATAATCTCTGGTTCTATACTGTTTAAAGCTTCGATTCTAGTCATTAGTTAAGCTATTTAACCCAAAAAAAAAGTCATTACTTAAGGTCTTCGTGTTGAGGTAAGTGCTAATTGTACAAGTCTTTGGATTTGTTGGCATTGCTGCACTCGCGGCCAGCTTCGCGATTCGCTTGCTTTTTTTTGCTTGTTCTTTTAACTTTGCCAAGGCTGTTTGCGTGTGGAATTTAAAGTTCGTGGTATTGCCAGCAAAAGCGGTTTTCAAATTAGTTAGCATTTCTCGTCTTTTGGGTGTGTGTTTTGGTTACTTTGAGTTGTGTTCGTGGCACTTTCCCTTATATCGGTCATTTGAATTCATTTTGACTCTTGTTATGTATCCAGTCTTCACTTTTGTTCGCGGCAAAGTGTCTCCTCGTCTTTGAAATTCCTATCTCGGCCAATTTTCGCTAGTAATGTCTTCGGTTGTTTAAACGCTTCCCTCTTTTGGGCGTTTGACTCCGACTACATTTCATAGTCCACCGGCTTTTGGCTTTGGAGACATCTATTTTGTTCGCCGGTTTACCAATAAAAATTTTTTGATAGAACATTGAGCCTTTCTTTCTTCTTCGTTTCCGCGGTCAACGACACAAGATACTGTTCGATTCGAATCGAAGTAGCCAAACAAAAAAAAAGAAGAAGAAAAATGGGAGCGTTTTGTAAGGTGGTCGATGCTGTTCTCTTCATATTCTTCGCTCTCATGGCGATTATTGCTCCGCTCATCGACGGCCAAACAGTTCTTCCCGGCGTTCTTGGTTGATCTGAATCGATGGTACATGGCCGAGTTCGGAGATTATCTATCCATGGAGAAGCCTCATTTCCTCGTTGGTTTAATCTGGCACGAGCTTTTGCTTCTTTGGCCGCTCTCGATCGTCAACATCTACGCAGTTCTTGCCGGAAAATCGTTGTTCGGTTACCACCTCCATGTTGTACGGAGCTTCTGTCCTCACTTCTATGGTACGGTTCGTTCTTTATCTCGCTTCTTCCATTTTTATGACAATAAATGTGTGAAACTGATTTATTTAGTTGATAAAAACTGATTTTGAGTTTTTGACAAAGATTCATGGTAAAAGTATGAGTATACTACTTTTAGTTATTTTCAATTATTTTTCATGAAATGTGTTTCTTTTAGGCTGCTATATTGGGAGAGATGATAGGTTCAAGGAAGGCATCTGAGAGATTGTTGATGATATATGTGCCTTTCATGGTATTGTAGCTCTTCTTCGCCGTCTTCTTTCTCGATACAACAAAACCGGTGGTGTTATTGGCAAAAGACCAGCTATTTTTGTCCAGAAGAAAGCATGCTTAATGATGAACACACACACAAGATGGA